CTATTAAAAGTTCCGATTTTGTGCTCCAGGGCTCTATCACTTGCCAGAAGCGGCCGACGGAGGCCCCTCCCCCACCGTCTATCCTCCCGAATATCGCCTTGGATTCACTTCTCCACACGTCCTACCTTCCAGAAAGTGGTCGCTTTTCTGATGAGAGAGTTGTTGCTCTTCTTTTTTTCAATCTCCTGTTGAGTTTATAGGTGTTCAGAATGGTTTGATCCTTATCCAGCTGAATTCCTGAAAGGAGACGAAATCCAGGTCTCCTACTCCTCCGCCATCTTGCTCTGCCCCCCCCCAGTCCCATATACTCTTTACCTGGCTTCCTCCACTGGTGGTATCTTATTTAACCATAGTACATTATGTTGATCTAGAAATTGACATTGGAACAACAGTGTTAACTGGACTGATGTTAACCATTTTTCCCTTCACATGCACACGTGTGTGTGTGTGTGTGTGTGTGTTTGATTCTCTGCAATTGTAGCATGCCAACTGATTGATGTAATTACTATCACAAAAGAGCCCTTGGTTGTTACAGAGTGCTTTCACATTTCTTTCATTAGATTCTCCCAGTAATTTTGTGACATAAAGGCAGTTGTTAGACACATTTACAGATGAAGAACTGAAGGTTAGCAAAGAATGGATAATATGGTTCAAACTTTGTATCTTGCTGGGTGTGGAACTAAGACAACACCCCCTCCTTTGTTTTGACACCTGGCCTTGTGCTATTCTTCACCCCCATTATTTCCCAGTTTTTCTAGTGCACTGCACACATGTATTCACATCACTGCCTCAGAAATGATGCTGCCACCTGCTCTCCTAGGCATGGTTTGCATCTGCCCATGTTGGATAGGTATGTGGTATGTACTGATGGTAGCAGGTTATAGGCCTGATACAGCTGAGAGACCCATGTCCAAGTCAGTTCATCTCATTGGTGCTTGGAAAATATTAAGATGGTGAATATTGTTTTGAAAGAAACATAACTAAATTTTTTCTGTCCTTTGAAAAAGAATGTGTTTCCTTATATTTCTCAAATTCCAATACTTTATTCAAATACTATATATGGAGCAACTCCTTCTGGATGCCTGGGACTGCTCTAAGCACTGAGGTGCAGCTCTGGACAATACAGACAAGGTCTCTTCTGCTGTCCAGGGGCTCCCCTTCTTCATCATGAGCATTACACGCTAGAGAACTGAAGAAGAGCCTGTAAACTAGCCATTGTCCAGCAGCAGCATTTTGTTGCTCTGAAAACATTATCTTAAGCACCATTGCATTATCGTAACAGAAGGAGCATTTGGAACTCCCTGGGCAATGAGGGAATTTGTGCATACGACTCAAGAATTGGCTTGTAGACATGGGAACCTGTCTGCCGCAAGTTAAGTGAATAAAGTTATCAAACAGATACCATATGAGAGAGTGTGCGTGTCAGTAAAAGACCAACCCATGGCAGTGAGTGTCTTCATGTAGTGTAGTATGAGTGATACTTTATTTTTTTCCTAATTTATATTTTCTGAAATTTTTTATAACAACCATATAACTTTCTGTAATACAAATACATAAATAATAGAGAACACATCAAGTTGTACTTTTTATTCAGACACAATTTTTATCAAGCAAAATAATTTTCAAATCTTATTAATTCATGCATTCATGCCTTCCTTTAAAAAAATACAGACACTGCATGCTGGGACTGTTCTTAGTACTGGTGTCATAGGCACAGATAAAGGATAATGTTCCTGTGGTCATGGAGTGTGAGGGTTAAAGCCATAAAAGATCAGGTAGCATTCTGTTAGAGCTGAGTACACCAAACATGAAAAGCACAAAAATGGCTACTGATGGTTTTAACAGTTTAAGTGGTCATAATGATGGGACTCTGAAATTTTAAGTTGGCATTTTATTTAAGCTTATCAGTTATCTTTAGCTTTATGATGATGCTAATATGACGATGGTTCCTAAAAATCTCATTTAATCTTTCTTGAAGATCTTATCAATTACTGCAGTGGTCACTTGATATGCATTATCTTGACTAATCCTTACCATAACCGTGGGATGTGTTCTGTTATCCCCACTTTCAAGATGAGGTATCTGAAGGTCCAGACTCACCCATGAGTTAAGCTATGTGGCTACATATGTGATTGAGCCAGCTTACATTATTTCTGGGTCCAAAATCCATGATATCACAGGTATATTTGGTTAAATTTCAAATACTAGCTATGTCAATGCCTGTTAAAACTTTCTAAACAGAATTGAGATGTAAATTAGATATGCTTGCAGCAGTTTGTGTTTTCAAATAAAGCTCTGGTAGTATTAGTGAATTATAGCATTTTTACTTCAGATCCTAATTTGTCTTTGTTTTGGATATTTTACAGAGAGACCCAATAATTGCAAAACAGCTCTTTGGCAGTTTGTTTTCTGGAATTATAAAAGAAATGGATAAATACAAGACCAAGTCTGAGAAAAACAACATTACTCAAAAGTTGCTCCAGGACTTTAATCATTTTCTTAACACCACTTTCTCTTTCTTTCCACCTTTTGTTTCTTGTATCCAGGTAAGTTTGTACACATGCTTCATAAATATTGCATTATCTACTTTGCCATCACATGACTGTGTCATAATAACTTCATTTGTTTCACAAGCTGAAGCACAAGGTGTTTGAGTAGATGTGCTCTGTATGGTTACCTCTTCCCAGATGGGTAGGTGTGATTTATTTGTTTTTTTTTTTTTTAAACAAGCATATAGGGGCGTCTGAATCTTGGTTTCAGCTCAGGTCATGATCTCAGGGTCCTAGGATCAAGCTCCACGACAGGCTCCATGCTCAGCGGGGAGTCTGCTTGAGGATTCTCTCCCTTAGCCCCTCCCCCCCTTTTGCACCTGCTCTCTCACTCTTTTTTCCTCTCTCTCTCTAAAATAAATGGATGAATCTTTATTTAAAAAAAAAAAAAAACCCAAAAACTCCAAACTTATATTTGACTGAATAATTAGAAATCAGCCTTGGTATAAAAGTGCTGTGATTTTTAATAAGCCATAAGCCAGTCCCTTCAGTGTTTTGGTTAAGCCCTGCATGTCCTTATATACTGTTTCACCAGATTATTTCCTGCCTCCCGATTGCCTTCAACAGATGTTGATTGAGCATATTCCTAACTTTGTTCTAAGTGGTGGGGATGGTGAATGAGGCAGAGAAGCACAAATCTCTGCCCTCCTGGAATTACAATGGGTGACAAACAATAAACAGACAAATACAGAAGATAACATGAAGTAGTCTTAAGTGTCATAGAACTTGAGTACTACAGAAGGACTAGTGTAATATAGGGTAGTAATGAAGCAGGGAAGGAGACAGCCTCTTGAACAGGGTGGGGTGGTGGGTATGTACCATGATAGATATTTAGATGGAGTGGTCAGAGAAGGCCTTTCTAAGGCAGTACAGTTTGAGCAGATGTTAATGTAGGCATTGTTTCAGTTACTACTTAAACATGCTTACTGGAAGGTTACTTTTTCATATAAGAAATGTTTCCTTTGCCATTCAAAACATGGATCGTTACAAAGTCCCTAATAGAAAACTGTTTCAATTCATTTTAGTATTTAAAAATTTTTTTTATTTAAATTCAATTTAATTAACATAGGGTATTGTTAGTTTCAGAGGTAGTATTTAGTGATTCATCAATCTTATATAACACCCAGTGCTCATTCCATCAAGTGTCCTCCTTAATGCCTACCAACCAGTTACGCCATCCCCCCACCCACCTCCTCTCCAGCAACCCTCAGTTTATTTCCTATAATTAATTAGGAGTCTCTTATGGTTTGTCTCCCTCTCTGTTTTCATCTTTTTGTTTTTCCTTCCCTTCCCCATGTTCATCTGTTTTTGTTTCTTAAATTCCACATATGAGTGAAATCATATATTTGTCTTTCTCTTATTTCGCTTAACATAATACTCTCTAGTTCCATCCATGTCATTGCAAATAGCAAGCTTTCATTCTTTTTGATGCATGAGTAATATTCCATTGTATATATACACCACATCTCCTTGATCCATTCATCTGTCGATAGACATCTGGCTCCTTCGATATTTTGGCTATTGTGGACATTGCTGCTATAAACATTGGGGTGCATGTGCCCCTTCAAATCACTATGTTTGTATCCTTTGGATAAATACCTTACTGGTGCAATTGCTGGGTCATAGGGTACCTCTATTTTTTTTTTTTTTTTAAAGATTTTATTTATTTATTTGAGAGAGAGAGAATGAGAGACAGAGAGCATGAGAGGGAGGAGGGTCAGAGGGAGAAGCAGACTCCCTGCCGAGCAGGGAGCCCGATGCGGGACTCGATCCCGGGACTCCAGGATCATGACCTGAGCCGAAGGCAGTCGCTTAACCAACTGAGCCACCCAGGCGCCCCAGGATACCTCTTTTTAACTTCTTGAGGAACCTCCATACTGTTTTCCAGAGTGGCTACACCAGTTTGCATTCCAACCAACAGTGTAAGAGGGTTCCTGTTTCTTCACATCCTTGCCAACATCTGTGTTTCCTGAGTTCATTGAGCCATTCTGACGGGTGTGAGGTGGTATCTCATTGTGGTTTTGATTTGTATTTCCCTGATGCCAAGTGATGTGCATTTTTTCATGTGTCTGTTGGCCATTTGTATGTCTTCTTTGGAGAAATGTTTGTTCATGTCTTCTGCCCATTTCTTCACTGGAGTTTTTGTTTTTTGGGTGTTGAGTTTGATAAGTTCTCTATAATATAATAATAATAATATATTTTGGATACTAGCCCTTTATCTGATATATCATTTGCAAATATCTTCTCCCATTCTGTAGCTTACCTTTAGTTTTGTTGACTGTATCCTTCACTGTGTAAAAGTTTTTTTTATCTTGATGAAGTCCCAATATTTCATTTTTTGCTTTTGTTTCCCTTGCCTTTGAAGATGTGTCTAGCAGGAAGTTGCTGCAGCCAAGGTCAAAAGGTTGCTGCCTGTTCTCTAGGATCTTGATAGATTCCTGTCTCACATTTAGGTCTTTCATCCATTCTGAGTCTGTTTTTGTGTATGGTGTAAGAAAGTGGTCGAGTTTCATTCTTCTGCATGTGGCTGTCCAATTTTCCCAACACCATTTGTTGAAGGGGCTGTCTTTTTTCCATTGGATATTCTTTCCCACTTTGTCAAAGATTAGTGGACCATAGAGTTTGAGGTTCCATTTCTGGGCTCTCTATTCTGTTCCATTGATCTATGTGTCTGTTTTTATACCAGTACCATACTGTCTTGATGATGACAATTTTATAATATAGCTTGAAATCTGGAATTGTGATGCCTCCAGCTTTGCTTTTCTTTTTCAACATTCCTTTGGCTATTCGGAATCTTTTCTGTTCCATACAAATTTTAGGATTGTTCCAGCTCTGTGAAAAATATTTGTGATATTTTGATAGGGATTACATTGATGGGTAGAATCTACTTTGGGTAGCATAGACATTTTAACAATATTTGTTCTTCCTATTCATGAACGTGGAACGTTTTTCCATTTCTTCGTGTCTTCCTCAATTTCCTCATAGGTGTTCTGTAGTTTTCAGGATACAGATCCTTTACCTCATTGGTTAGGTTTATTCGTATTATGGTTTTTGGTGCAATTGTAAATGAGATCGATTATCTGATTTCTCTTTCTTCTTCATCCTTGTTAGTGTATAGAAATGCAGCTGACTTCTGGGCATTGATTTAATATCCTGGGACTTTGCTGAATTCCTGTATCAGTTCTAGCAATTTTTTGGTGGAATCTTTTGGGTTTTCTACAGAGTATTATGTTGTCTGCAAAGAGTGAAAGTTTGACTTCCTCTTTGCTGATTTGATGCCCTTTATTTCTTTTTGTTTTCTGACTGCTGAGTCTAGGACTTCCAGTAGTATGTTGAACAATGAGGTAGTGAGGGAGGACATCCCTGTTGTGTTCCTGCCCTTAAGGAAAAGCTCTCAGTTTTTCCCCATTGAGAATGATATTCGCTGTAGGTGTTTTGTATTTAGCTTTTATGATATTAAGATATGTTCCCTCTAACTCTACATGGCAGAGAGTTTTATGAAGAAAGGATGCTGTATTTTGTCAAATGCTTTTCTGCATCAATTGAGAGGATCGTATGGTTCTTGTCCTTTCTTTTATTAATGTAGTATATCACCTGAATTGATTTGTGGATGTTGAACCACCCCTGCAGCTCAGGAATAAATCCTACTTGGTTGTGGTAAATATTTCTTTTGATGTACTATAGGATCCTATTAGCTAGTATCTTGGTGAGAATTTTTGCATCCGTGTTCATCAGGGATATTGGTCTTTGTCTGGTTTTGGGATCAAGGTAATGCTGGCCTCATTAGAATGAGTTTGGAAGTTTTCCTTCCATTTCTGTTTTTTGGAACAGCTTCAGAAGAATAGGTATTAATTCCTTAAATGTGTGGTAGAATTCCAGTGGGAGGCCATCTGGCCCTGGACTCCTGTTGTTGGGCAATTTTGGATTTCTGATTCAATTTCTTTGCTGGTTATGGGTCTGTTCAGGTTTTCTATTTCTTCCTCTTTCAGTGGGGTAGTTTATATGTTTCTAGGAATGCATCCATTTTTTCCAGGGTGCCTAATTTGTTGGCATATAATTGCTCATAATATTCTCTTACAATTGTTTGTATTTCTTTGGTGTTGGTTATGATCTCTTCTCTTTCATTCATGATTTTATTGATTTGGGTCCTTTCTCTTTTCTTTTTGGTAATTTGGGCTACAGGTTTATCGATCTTATTAATTCTTTCAAAGAACCAGCTCCTACTTTTGTTGATCTGTTCTACTGGTTGTCTTTTTTTTTCCTATATCATGGATTTCTGCTCTAATCTTTATTATTTCTCTTCTCCTGCTGGATCTAGGTTTTATTTGCTGTTCTTTTCCCAGGTTCTTTAGGTGTAAGGTTAGGTTGTGTATTTGAGACCTTTCTTGTTTCTTGAGGTAGGCCTTTATTGCTATATACTTCCCTCTTAGGACTGCCTTTGCTGCATCCTAAAGGTTCTGAACGGTTACGTTTTCATTTTCATATGCTTCCATGTATTTTTTAAAATTCTTTAATTTCCTGGTTGACCCATTCATTCTTTTTTCTTTTTTTTTAAAGATTTTATTTATTCATGAGAGACAGGGAGAGAGAGAGAGGCAGAGGCAGAGGGAGAAGCAGGCTCCCCACTGAGCAGGGAACCCAATGTGGGACTCAATCCCAGGACCTTGGGATCATGACCCAAGCCAAAGGCAGACGCTCAACCATCTGAGCCACCCAGTCGCCCTACCCATGCATTCTTTAGATGGATCCTCGTTAACCTCCATGTATTTGTGTTCTTTCCAAATTTTCTCTTGTGATTGCATTCAAGTTTTAAAGCTTTGTGGTCTGAAAATATACATGGTATAATCTCAGTCTTTTTCTACCGGTTGAGACCTGATTTGTGACTAAGTATTGTCATCTATTCTGGAGAACATTCCATGTACACTTAAGAGGAATGTGTATTCTGTTGCTTTAGGATGAAATGCTCTGAATATATCTGTGAAGTCCATCTGGTCCAA